AATAGAACTACCATATGATCCAAAAAACCCACTTCTGGGTATTTATCTGAAGAAATCCAAAATATTAATTTGAAAAGATTTGTGTACCCCTATGTTCACTGCAGCATTATTTATAACAAAGTTATGGAAGCAGCCAAACCGTCCATCAATAGAAGAATGAATAAAGATGTGGTACATATATACAATGGGATATTATTCAGACATAAAAGAGAAATGGAATCTTGCCATTTGGAACATGGATGAAACCTAGAGAGTATTATGGTAAATGAAATAAGTCAGACAGAGATAGACATATACCATTTGATTTCATATGTGAAATCTAAAAAAAATAAAATAAAATAAACAGAACAGAAGCAAACTTATAGATACAGAGAACAAATTAATGTTTGCCAGATGAGAGGGTCATTGCGGGAGATGGGTGAAAAAAGTGAAGTGATTAAGAAGTACAAACTGACAGTTATAAAAATAGTCACAGGGATGTAAAGTGCAGCATAGTCAAATATAGAAAATACAGTCATAATCGTGCAATAACTTATGTATGATGTTGGATGGTTACTAGACATGTGATCATTTAATAAGGCATATAAATGTCTAATCACTGTGTTGCACACCTGAAACTAATATAATATTGCATGTCAAGTGTAACTGAAAAATGAATTTTAAAAAATGAACTTTGACCATCTTATATCATATACAACTATTAATTTAAAACATATCATTGATCTAAATATAAATGCATAATATTTCTAGAAGAAACAGAAGAAAATCTATGCACCTTGAGGTATGCAAAGATTTATTAGATAGGACAAAGAAGTGGAAAGTATAAAAGATAATTGATAAACTGGACTTTATAAAAAATTTCAAACTTCTGCTCTTAAAAAGTCTTCATTAAGAAAATAAAAAGACAAGCCAATGACTGGAAGAAAATATTTAAAAATACACAAAGGAACATCTAAAGTAATCAAAATAATTCTTACAACTTAATAACAAGAACCCTAATAAAAATATGGGCAACAGATATGGGTAGTTCACAAAGGATGTATCAGTGATTATATATACAATCACAGAATGTGGAAGGCTGCTCAACCTCATCAGTCATGAAGGAAATTTGAACTAAACATACATGTGATAACTGTACACATCTGTTAACAATACCATGTGCTGAAAAAAAGGTAGAGCAACTGGAATTCTCATACAATGCAAAAGTGGTACGGCCAGTTTGGAAAACAGTTTGTGGGTTTCTTACAAAGCTGAGAACAATTGCCATATGATCCAGCAATACCACTATTAGTTATTTATTCAAGAAAAATAAAAACTTTTGTGCACGCAAAGACTTACATGCAATGTTCACAGCAATTTTATTCATAATGGCCCAAAACAGAAAGAACCTGTTATAAACTGAATTGTGTCCCCTCAAAATTCATATGTTGAAGGCTAACCCCAAATGCGACTGCATTGAGAGATAGGACCTGTAAGTAGGTAATCGGAGTTAAGTGAGGTCATAAGGAGGGGGTCCTAATCCAATATAACTGTGTCCTTGTAAGAGGGAGAGAGACAGCGGGGATGCACACACACAGGAATGTCTGAGGACACAGAAGTAAGGCATCCAGCTGCGGACCAAGTTGCAAGGCCTCGGAAGAAACCAAATCTGCGGCACCTTGAATCTTGGACTTCCAGCCTCTAGAACTGTGAGAAAGTAAATCTCTATTGCTTATGTCCCTCAATCTGTGGTATTTTGTTACGGCTGCTCTACACAAACTAACCGTCTGTCAACAGGCAAATAAACTGTGATACAGCTAAACTCGGAATATTGTGACAATACGGACCAATGCATGCACTTCACAGTCATTCTGCTGAGCCAAAGAAGCCAAGTACAGTGAGTGCCGACTGTGTGATTCCATTTATATAAAATTCTAGGAAGGCAGATCTAATCCAGAGGGACCGAAAGCAAATCCACACTTGCCTAGGGGTGGGCATGGACTGATTGCAAAAGGGCTTGAGGGAATTAGGGAGGAGAGAGAATGTCCTATAACTTGACTGTAGTGATGACTGTGCAAGTATGTTCATTTGTCAAAACTCATCAAATCACTCTCTTACAATGAGTGCTTTTTATTTCATGTAAATTATACTTCAATACAATTGATTAAAAATTCAATATACTAGTACTTCATAAACAATAAACAAACTAGCTAGCTATATTAATATATAAAACACACTTCTAAGTAAAAAGTATTATTGAAGTGAGTCCTTACACAAAGATAGAACATTTTTATTAGAGATATATAAAGTATTAGACTGTTATTACACTAATGATAGTCTCAAAAAAAGAAAAACTGAGAAAATCATTCAGTGAAAAACAAATCCACAATTATAAAGGAGGATCTTAACACATTACTGCCAATAAGTAAAAGGTGAAAAATACAAACTTTGTAAGGATTTATAAGAATCCACTGACACTATTAACAAGCATAATCACACACACACACACACACACACACACACACACATCTGACAATAAGTGAATGAATTCATATGCTTTTCAAACTCATGTGGACTATTATCAAAATTGTATCCCCTGTCACCAAGCAAGTCTTCATAGATACCATAGAATTAATATCACATAAGGTATTTTATCTGATCATAATATATGACAAAATAAAAAATAAAAAATAGAATAATCATCTCAAATCCTCTGTACATTGAAAATTTTAAAAATAACTTCAGGGATCAAAAATAAATCATAGTTGAATTAGGTGATATTTAAATATATATATATATATTTAAAGATGTCTTTATTGATTTCAGAGAGAGGAAGGGAAAGGAAGAGAGAGAGAGACAGAAACACCAATGATGAGCCCAGCTGAGCTTGGCTCAGCGGTTGAGCATCGACCTAGGATCCAGGCCATCAGGGTTCAATTCCCGGTCAGGGCACATGCCCGGGTTGTGGGCTAGCCGATCAGTGACTCTCATCATTGATGTTTCTATCTCTGTCTCTCCCTCTCCTTTCCTCTCAAATCAATAAAGATATATTTTTTTTACAAAAAAGAAAGAAACACCAATGATGAGAGAGAGTCATTGATTGGTTGCCTCCTGCATGCCCCCCACTGGGGATTGAGCCCGCAACCTGGGCATGTGCCCTGACCGGGAAAAGAACCTCGATCTCCTGGATCATAGGTTGATGCTCAAGCACTGAGCCACGCCAGCCGGGCGAATTTGGTGATACTTAAAACTGAATGGAAATAACAGCATTATAACAAAACTTGTGAGATATAGCCAAAGAAATATTTAGAAATTTCCATTCTTAAATGCATATAAAAGAAAAAAGAAGTGAAATCATGGAATGTGATCAATTTATTCTAAAGTTCATTTGAGGGTTTAATAAGGGCAAAGTACAATCAAAACAATTTTGGGTACATGAATCCAGCCAGATATCAAGACTTAACAAAACTAAAGAAGCTCCAAGAGTGTATTGTTGGGAAACAGAAAGATAAACTGACCAGTGGAGAAGAATGTATGGGAACTTCTTTTGATGACAAAGTAGACTTATAATCAGTGAAGAAAGGATGGCAGAGACCCATCGACAAAAATAAAAAATTACTGCTCTATTTTAAACTACATTTAAACTATATACAAAATCAATTTCAAGTAAATTAAAGATCTAAATGTGAGGGAAAAATTTCACATAGTTTTAGAACTTCTAAATGAAAATAAAAGAAAATATCTTTCTGGCCTTGGGATGGTAAAAGATTTCTTAGAGAAGACAAAAAAGCATGAACCACATGATAAAAGGTTGACTACTTCCAGCAGAAGAATATAAAACTTCTGTTCTTACTGCAAGCACAATGAAAAGACGACACAGATAAGAAGATAAATGCTATGTCTTTAAAAGGGTTATTATCAAGAATACATACATAATTCCTTTAAATTAACATGAAAAAGAGAAACAACTTAATAGAAAAAATAGGAGAGTTTAAGAAAATCCATTCCATAAAATCAAGAGAAAATTCATTACAGAAGAATCCTGAATGCCTAACAAACATGAAAAGATCTTCAATTTCACTTACAATCAAGGAAACACAAAATGAAAAGTATGGAAAGAATTTAAATGTCTGATAATATCAAGTACTGATTAATATTTGAGGAAATGATAACTATGTGATTTCTGGTGGAAGAGTAAAACTTTAGAGAGCAATCTGACAATACTGAGAAGAGTTAAAATTGCACGTATATTTGATCCAGTTATTCCGCTTCCAGGAACAAACCTAGAGAAATATACATCCAAGGAGAAAAAGGATGTTTCTTGTAGCATTTTATTATTAAGAAAATGAAGACACTCAAACTTCCTTAAATATAAGAATAAATTAAAAAAATATATTTATATAATGAAAACAGGTACAACTGTTTAGATGTACACTGTATCAAAATTAATAAATTTCAAAATTATAATACTGAATAAAAATGCAAGTTGAAATGGATATCTATAGTATATTATCACTTTTAAAAAATTTAAAGCACACAAAACAACTTTATGCATCATCTGAGGGTGATATACAGAAAAGTCTAAATATATGAAAAATAGTTAAACAACCAGGAACCTTACACACACCAGCCACTCGGGAGGGAGAAGGGAAAAGGCTGAGGAACTGGATCTTGTAATGTTTGCTTCTTTAAACAGAGACGAGGCAGATATGGCAAAACGTTAGCATCCTTAAATCTGGGAGGGAGGGTATAAGCATGTCTTTTATATTAGTTTTTTACACTTTTCTTTGGTATGTTTGAAACAGTTCCTAATTTTTAAAAATGCTAAAGATTGTTCTAACTGTAGGGCAGGTAATAGATTAGAGAAGAACCAGAGTGGGTACAAGAACAGTTGTCAGGCTGCAATTCACAGTATATTTAAATAATTTAAGTCTTTGCCTACATATTTAATTTATGGAAAGCCAAACAAAACTCTCAAACGTGATGTAGGACTGACTACAAGCACATTTTCCCAAACTCACCTGCTCTACCTCTCTGCTGAGGGCATCTATCTTTTCTTTTAGTCTGTTATTCTCTGCCTCAGCGGTGATAAGTTCCAGTTTGAGGGTATTGTTGTCCGCCTCAGCTTGCCGGGCCTTATTTTCCCAGTTCTCAGCATCCTCATTGGCTTTTCGGAGTTGGTCCATCATTTGCCGGTTCTCAGATTCCTGAAAAGCAAATCTTAGGTAGTAGTTGAAAAGATGTAAAATGTTCAGCATATAATTAAACATTTGTCAGATCACTGGGAATTGACTTGCTATGAGGATCTTTTTTTTTGGTAAGCGAAGGGTTTTTTTATTTCATTAACAATTAAGGTTATGCTAATATGTATATTTCAAAATAGTCCTGAATATTTAAGATATGGTGTTAAAATAGTCATACAAGGATCATTAGTAACATAACCTTGAGGAATTGCTTGTCCTGGAAAATTGCTTGTCCTGGAACTAACAAAAGGAGGTGGGACCAGGATCTGCCCTGGCTCCTGAGTCACACTCACCCATCTAGTCAAGTGAAGTAGCTTACTCTTATCTTCAGGACCCAGATGAGTATGTTCTTATACTTCCTTTTGTTCAAGCAAAATCCTTCATTGCTTCAGTTTCCCATGTATCTTTTTCCTGACTAGTTGCTGGCCCGTTTTCGGACCTCCTGCCTTGGCCTGACCCTGTGTGTCTGCCTATTGCCTTCTCCCTGACCTCTTTTCTGAGCTGTACTGGCTACAGAGCTTCTCAGTGCTGGCCTATCTTAAGCATCAATTTCTGATACTTGTCTTGGCACATTTCCTGTGTGATTCCTGCTTTTCATTCAGAAGCCCAACCTTAGTTTTCTCCATCATAGACTGTGCTAGGATCCACGTTTGCTCACTGTTCTAATAAATTGCCTGAAATGGCTCAGAAGCAACATATTAAACCTATGTTGATAAATGCTATTCATAAATATACATCCAGGCATATACTGAGCATATAATATAGAACCCCATGTTTAAACCCTTAAAAGGTCCATCATGACAGATTGACTAAAGTACGGATATATTTGGATTGACTAAAGTAGGGTCTTATTTCTAGAGGAAAACAGCTCTACAAGTAATATACTGTACTTAGCAATCATTTTCAGACTATATTTAAAAACATATTTTAGTAGTATGGTTTGGCTAACTCATTCTAGAACATAATTTATAATTTTGGTAACTAATTAAAAAGGCACTAGGTCTCTTTCTCTCCTACCTGTGAATAAACAGTGCATATTCCTATTAGAAATACTGGACTAAATAAAATGACCAAATTGCAATAAAAGATGTCTCACACTGTAGGGCTTGCAAAGCAGATTTAAATTCTCTAAAATATGATTAAGCATGAGTCTGATCGAAATTCGGTTAATATCGCCCCTCTTGTGGCCAGATAGTAACTTGACTAACATGAAAGATCTCTGCAGAGTGTTAGCTAACAAGTTCACAAGCCAAACTACTGTTCTGACTTTCAAGAGTCACATATTCTACATGTGCCAGGAGGGATGATGTGTGTTTTCCATTATTGTACTAAAAGTAACAGTATGTACAGAGCATGTACTTGGGAGGTACATGGTACAATACACATGAACTAAATTTTACCCACATCAGTCTTTCCCCTTTAACTTTCTGTAGCACTCACTGTCTATGTCATTCTCAGCTTTATGTAACTAGGTGTGGAGTACAGTCTCCCCAGTAACACCTTGGATTCCTCAAAGACAGAAATTTAGTTTTGTGATTGGTAATACAGGTTCAAAGTTCAAGTGGTAAAAAAGAATTGCCATAAAACGTCTCTCCTGCCCTCCAACCATCTAGGGACCCTTCCTTGTGGCATCCAAGAGGCCATATTTTACCCTTTTTTGTATCTGTCCAAAGAAGCCAGAGAAGTGTGGGGCCCAAGACAGGCAACAACTTAAACTGCTTCTTGGTTTTCTCCAATGCTCTCTTTCCAGATGTCTTTACCCCTTTCTGGCGCTACCTCCACCCCTGGACCCCCCTCCCTCTGGTGGTCCCCTGGGCTCATTACAACACTCCACCACCACAAAGCTCACCGCCTCAGCTGGAATCCTTTGCCCTTCCTGACTGAATTTTGGGTACAGCTTCCTATTGCTCTCTTTCCTTTTGATTTTCTCACCCTTCTGATTTATTGTTCCCAACATCTCCAGAATAATCTTTCTAAAAGGCAATTCTTCAAATAACTGCTGTGCTTATTTTGCAACAAAAACTTCCTGAAAATGGGGTTCAAACAAGTCCTTCTTACCTCTCCAGCTACGTGACCTACTGTTTCCCCTGAACACCTTTGCCTGTGTTGTCCCCACTGTCTCGACTGCCATTCTGTTTCCTCTCAGTTTTTCATGTCTGGCACCGCTGCACCTAGCATACTGCCTGCTGAATGAATGAGTGACTGGAGAACGCACCCGACAGTTCTTACTGGACTACCTGTGGTTTGTTCTCTCTGGGGGAAGGGGAGCCTGGATCCATCCAGCTATGCTGTGAAATGAAATCTCATGAAAGAACTCATGCTAGGATGCTAAAAGCTAAGAGAAGCTTGATGTGTGATGTCTGAAAACACAACTCCAGAATCTAAAAGCCCCAATCCTCAATGGTGACATTTCAGGTAACGTGACAGACTAGGGAGAAAAGGGGAACTGTCTACCACTAATTCAAAGTTCACTATGCGCAATGTTGCTCAGATATTCACTTAGTTATATTCTGCCCCATTCCAGAATAGACTTAAATGGATCCCTGTGCTATATCTATCTGACTTACTTGGGTGTTCTAACTAATTACAGAGGGGACACTGAGACTCAGAGAGGTTGAGTAGCCTACCCAAGTCCATGTCATTAGGGAGGAAAGGATCAGACTTATCTGACTCCAGAGCTTTTGTCCATTCATGATATTACCTTGCTAGCATCTTAAAATCAAGAAGTGTAGGAAAATGCCTGCTTTGTCAACGTAAACCTGCTGCTTTATTGCCTGAAAGCAAGGATTTCAATTTAGGAGTCCTTAAACTCGCTACTTCTCAACGACCTAAACAGTCATAAACACCACAAACAAATACTCAAGATGTTTGTGGACTGATATTAAATAATATGTTAAATAAAATAAGGAAAACAGGATTTTCTGGGGGAAGGGCAGTTTCTTTTAATGATTTCAGAGGTATGTAGGCGACACTAAACCTGTTATAATCCAACTATATTTTTTAACCAACCCAATTACACTATTTTAGATAATTTACTAAATGGGCAGATCTAACATCCTTGGTCAAGGTCTCTGTTTATTCCAGGACTGTCACACGTGCACCCAAATTTACTTCAGTCATCTGCTGTCTCACCCATGCACCTGGTCAAATGGTCACTAACAGAGAAGTGCAGAGGAGAGCCATCTGCCTTCTGGTCCTAAGAAATACATGGCCCCGGAGTGATCAATTCTGACCTGCTACACAATCACGTGGAGCCTCCTTTGTCAAAGTTTGTACTTGAAATCTTGACCATTTTCAAATATGAATGAGCCCAGGTGGATTCTGGCCCCTTCTCCTTTACCCAGGTAGGAGGATTCTACATATCTGGAAGGGCTGAGTAGCAAACTAAATGGGGCATATTCTTGAGTTACCTTTCTGGACATTGGTGATGTTCTAAATATACAGTTAACCCATCAGTGTCAACACTGAAACATGCTACGCATTCAAGGAAGACTTGATTCAGCTTTCCCCATGAGTGTAACTGATCAACTTTAGTGAAAACTCGGGTATCATGAACAAAGAGGAAAAAAAAATATACGTACTTCAGACTTTAATATATTCTTCAGCTTGTTAACTTCCAAATTAGTATCTTGGACCTTCTGTTTTATATCATTAAGTTCATTATGAGTATCATTCAATTGTTTAGACAGTGCCTATGAGGAAAAGATAACTAAATTTTACTTAAAAATTTTTTTAAAAGTTCTATTTTAAAATCACCATAAATAAATTTAAAATATTATGAAAAAGTTAATATACCTAATATACAAAGCTCATATAAAAACATTGAGAAAATATGAGTCCAAACAGTAAATGGGCAAAGAACGCAAACAGATAATTCACAAAAAAGAAGCACAAATGGATAATACTTTACAAATTTAAAAACTTACTAGTAATCAAAGAAATACTATTTAAGACAATAAAATACTGTAATAAAAATCTGTCTATCAAATTAGCAAATATTTAAAGCTATTCAGTTGTGGCAAGGAATGGGCATTTCCATGTATCATTGGCGTAAACAGAAATTTTCAAAAAGCAAATCTGTGACCTGCTATCTGGTGATGTATTAAATATGTTGCCTTTTGTTACAGATGGTAGATGTATACATTCATATTCACTATATTTGAAAATGTCCACTAATTAAAGAAAACTTTATAAGCTTTGATTCAACTTGAAATTAAGTCGAACAAAATGTAATCAAAAGGAATGTTCATTAAGGCATTTATCTGTTATAGTAACAATATTTACTCACATTAAGTGAAGGATGCAACAAATAATAGCATCTACATAATGTTATAACCACATAGGACATTATACCTCCATGAGAAATGTTTAGAATAATTTTTAATAACCAGGGAAAATGTCCATTTATAGTGAAAAAAAAATTAGGATAAAACATTAAAAATACTTCATCGCAATTTGTTAAAAATTGTGGTACTGAGGGTAAAATTTTTTTAAAGTTTCTGTTTTCCATATCTTCTGTGATATGTGTTCTTAATCTGTGGTCCACAAAGGAATCCATCTTCTACCTTTAGGCCTATGACCCAAAGGAGGGAAAAATACTACCCTTGAACATATGAAAACTGTTATGATACCAATTTTCTTATGATTATAAGCAATGTTTATAAAATTTTAACAAAGCGGGTAAATGCTTATAATGTCTCTACAAAATACTTATTAAGTGATTATTCTGGACTCTCTGGTAAGTGCTTGCTAGGCATGTTCTGGTTTACTCTCCATTTTTCAGATGATGAACAGAGATGAGGAGAAGTTTGGTGGTATTATCACACTGCCAAGCAGGGGGATTCAAACTCACGTGAGACTTAAACACGCCACTCTACTGCCTTCTCATGGAGAAAAAACATGATATAAAGGGGTATGCGGTTTTATCCCAGCTACATGAAATGTTCATGTAAAAATAAAATTTTTTAAAAATACATTGAAAATTAGTAAAAACTATGTTAACAGTAGTTAACTATGGGTAGTAAAAATAAGTTTATAATCTAGGTTTTAATAAACATAGGTTATGTTTACCTATATCCTATTTGCTCTAGATACAGAGTACACAAAATTATAAACTCACATCTTTTGTTTTCATTGCTATTCACTAACTTTTAAAACTAAACTTTATTTTAGAATAGTTTTAGATATACAGAAAAGTAGTGAAAATAGTACAGAGAGTCCACATGTACCCCATATCCAGTTTCTTCTTTAATTAACATGTTACATTAGTATGGTACACTTATCACAATTAGTGAACCAATATTGAAACATTATTAACTAAAGTCCATTTTTTTCAGATTCCTTTCATTTTTTTATTTCCTGATTTTCAGAAAGAGAGAGGGAGGGGAGAGAGGGGAAACATCAATTTGTTGTTCCACTTCTTTATGCACTCACTGGTTGATTCTTGTATGTGCCCTGACCAGAGATCGAAACTGCAACATTGATGTAGAGGGAAGATGCTCTAGCCGACTGAGCTACCAGCCAGGGCCCAGATTTGTTCATTTTTAGGTATTGTCCCTTTCCTGTTCCAGGATCCCATTGTTCATTAACTTTTTAACACAGTACTTTAACAGGTCAGGCAATTTTTATAATTTACAAAATGTTGCATCTTTACATCTATTTTTATAAATTAAAAATATTTAACAGCCTGGCCAGGCAAAGCTCAGCAGTTAAGCATCGACCTAGGATCCAGGAGATCACCGTTTGATTCCCAGGGTGAGGGCACATGCCCGGGTTGCGGGCTCGATCCCCAGTCAGGGACGTGCAGGAGGCAGCTGATCAATGACTCTCTCATCATTGATGTTTCTCTCTCTCTCTCCCTCTCTTCGTTCCTCTCTGTGAAATCAATAAAGATAT